ATTAATGAAAAGAAATGTAGAAATATATTGAAAACATATCTAATCAAAGAAAAATATATCAATTCATTTATCCTAGACCACTTTAGTCAAGTTTTTGTATAATGATGTTTGTGAATATGATAAAAATATATGTTAGTAATCATAAATAAAAATTAATGAATCTTAAAATTATTATAAATCCAACAAGTCTCATACTAGAATGATTTTTGATAAGACCATTACCCCACATTGATTAGGATACGAGGGTCTTGGTTGCTTATATGATATCAATGACATCTCTTTTATTGCGAGGTGTCTTTCAAGAAACAAAACTCATTGAAAGTCATTTGGGACAATACCTCTTAGTGGACCTACAAATATGGACACACCTCATCAGTTGGCTCCGTCTATGGGAATGAGTCATGTACTCAACCTAAGCTCCTCATTTGGGAGGCTATGATGAGGCCATTATCCCACTTCAGTTAGGAGATAAGGGCCTTAATTGCTTATATGGCACTAAAAACACCTCTTTCATTGCGAAGCACTCCACTTTAGTTAGGAGACAAGGGCCTTGATTGTTTATATGGCACTAAAAACACCTCTTTCATTGTGAAGCGCCTTTTAAGGCACAAAACCCACTAGAAGCCATGTGGAATAATACCTCGTGGTGAAACTATTATGCTGTGGATATGGACACACCTCATCAATTGGCATCGTTTATGGGAACGAGTTATATGCTCTATCCAAGTCCCTCGTCTGAGGAGCACTGATGAGATCATTATCTCACATCGATTAAGAGAGGAGGGCCTTGGTTGCTTATATGGCACCAAGAACACCTCTCTCATTATGAAGCGCCTTTTAAGAGACAAAACTCATTAGAAGTCATGTGGGACAATACCTTGTAGTAGGTCTACCATGTTGCGGATATGGACACACCTCATCAAATTTTAATGACAATAATTTATCATTTTATTTTGAAAAAACAAAAACTTTCAAATTAATCTTCGATTCATTTCTTCCATTTCCCACATACAAAATCAAAATATTATCTAAATATATCCTTTATTTTTTAGATGTTTATGATGAAAATAATTTTTTTAAAAAAATAGAAAAGGTGTTTCCAAACTAACTTTCACAAATCAAAATTAAGCTCTCTGCTCTTTTATAGATTATTAGATCTTAACAAACCATCCACGTCTAGATTTATTCATTCATCATTTATAAAAAAAATTACAACTTTCTCAAATATTCCCATTACTCAAAATGTTATGAGCTCAATATTTTGGGCTGGGGTTAGTCATACCATTCATTTTTCTCCCTTGATGGCTTCTTTTGATTTATTTTAACTTTTTTTTATTATTAAAAAGGTGTTCTTTAATCTTTCTTTACTCATTTTAGATCTAAACTAGATTATTGGTCGTGTTATGTTATAAGTTGAATTATTATTTTTAACATAAAAAACCATCCAGACATTGCTAACATTTGTTATAGTGAAAAAAAAACTAAATTATATGGAGGTTGACTTGATATGATCTATCGACTTAATAAATTCAAATACAATCCAAGCAACTAATAAAAAAATAGTTTGATTCGTAAAAATTCAAGAAAATATTAAAAAAAACATTAAAATGATAACATATTGGATCGATATGGGTTAACTCATATTAACTTGTCAAATTTATGACTTAGATCATAATACTATGATAACCTCTATATAAAACAATTCAAAACAAATTATAAAACTCAATACTCAATCAACCCAATTTAAAAGAATATGATTGAAAAACGTTAATTAAAAAATAACAAAAGAATTTGACCTGAATTAACCTGTCAAACTTGTGACCTGAGTCATGAGATCAAAGTAACTTATAGAGAGTAAACAAAAAAACTTGAGTCAACCGAAGTTAACATGTCAAATTCATAACCAAAGTCATAAGATTGTAATACATAAAAAGAAAATAAGAAAATTATGAATTTCAATTTTCAATAAACTCATTGTTAAAAGTTGAAATAAAAAAAAAATTAATCTAAAAACAAGACACGATAAAAAACAATCTAAGTTTACTTAGGTTAATTCGCAAAATATATAACTCGAGTCATAATACCAGTATAACCTTATAGAAAGCGATCAAAATAAATCATGAAACTTAATTTATAATCAACTACATGTTGAAGGATGAAATTGAAAAAATTAAAATTAAAAAAAAAACTCGAGTCAACTAGATTAACCTACCAATAAACCTGTGACCCATGAGACCCAGATAATTTTATAGAAATTAAACTGAAATATATTATGAAACCTGTGCCCCGAGTCATGAGACCCATATAATCTTATAGAAATTAAACTGAAATATATTATGAAGTTTAATCCCTAACTAACTCAATATTAAAGAATGAAATAAAAAAAATCAATTAGAAATACAAAAAAAAAAATCTGAGTTAATATGATAAATTTATAATTTATGTAATAAAAAGTGAGTTAACCCAACAATTTAAATCATAAAATTAAGATAACCAGATAAAAAAAATAAAGAAAACCAAAAAGGCTATTTTTTTATATAAAAACTAAAGTCGAATGATAAAATTAGAAAATAGTTTAAATCACAAATTAGAAAAGAAAAGAAACTAAAGTCGAATGATAAAATTAGAAAAGAAATAAGTATTTTTTAAAATATAAAATTTAAATCAGAGAACAACTATAAATTTTTTATTAAAGGGTAAAATTATAAAGAAAAAAATTAATTTAACAAAAGGATAAAAAAATCAAAAGAGTGAAAATCAATTTAAAAAACAATAATAAATCACAAATTAGAATTGAAGAATAAAATTAAAAATAAATAAAAATTTTATAAAAAAATAAAATTCAAAAGAATAATAAAAATATTAAAAATAAATCAATGGAGGTTGATAGTAACGTGGAATAGAAAAGTAAAGTCACTCACGAATTAGATTAAAGCTTTAGAAAGAGTATTAATGAGAATAATTCATAAGAGGAAAGGAAGTATTTGCAAGAGTTTACTAAGGCCTGCAATGAAGGTATTAAAGATTAGAGTAATATATATTTTGTCCCTACCATTAAAATTGCATCCGGCTCTTTATACAGTCTTAGGCATGTTTAGTATTATATTTTGGAAGTATTTAAAAAAAAAATTAAATTTTTTTATATTTTTATTTATTTCAAATTAATATTTTTAAATTATTTTAATATACCAATATCAAAAATAATTTTTAAAAATTAAAAAACATATATTATTTTAATATAAAAAATATTTTAAAAAATAATTATCACAACACTCTAAAACATATTCTTAAAGCAGGCCCAGAGGAATCTAAAACATATTCTTAAAGCAGGCCCAGCAACTCTCAAGAAGTATTTATGCATCTTCATTTCTCCTTTAAGTCTCCAGCCAAGCTAAGGAAAAAATCATATTGATCTCTGCTCATTTTCATTTATTTAAATTAATTACTTTTGAAAGTATTTAAGATTTTTAAGAGCAATTTCTTGAGTTTAAGACCTTTTAGTTAATGTACACATTTAATTAGCTAATTCAGCACTACCATTTTATACTGATTCGGATAAACACTAATCTGGTCCTGATTACGGCACTGAAAGATAGTGTTTGAAGCATTCTATATATTTGCTGGAATGCCAGGGCAGATCTGAGATTTTGGCAATTAATCCTATTTTAAAATGTTCATAAAAAATTGTTTCAAACTATTAAAATAGTGTTCATAACTTTTTCTTTTTATATATAAAACATCTTCTATATCTTTTTTCTTTTGATTTTAACATATAAATTTTAATGTGTTTGATTATATATTTCTTCATGTCACCATTCGCCATTGAATATCCATCTTTCTAGTATTAAAAGACCATTGAAATAATTCTCTCAACTATGCATATAAAATTTTAATATCACAAATCCATTTTAAACCTAGAAAAAATGATTTTTTGTTTTTCAATTAAAACCCTCAAATTTGGGAACTATATATTCAATTTAAAACTGATAATGAGATTGCATCTACCAAGCCAGCTTAGATAGCCCATAATGGCCGTGGTTCAATTCATATATTAATTAAATAAATGTCTTATTCAAATAAAATCATTAATGTATGCTTTTATTTTTGAAATAGCAATGTATGGTCTGAAGTAATTGCTCATCCGATAATGAATCATAAGCCGCAGGTTCACTTCATTGAACTTGGAAGCAGTCGCATTTTCTCACCATTTCAAGGTATATACATGGATAGTGTTTATTTTTGCGATGTAACTGTGTTTTAAAAAGATATATTTTTTTATTTTAAATTAATTTTTTTATATGTTTTAAATTTTTTTTGAGGTATTGATATAAAAAATAATTTTTTTTTAAAAAAATTATTTTAATACATATCCATAAAAAAAAATATCTATCATAATTTCAAATTAATGACTTGTACGCACTTGCTCAAGAGAAAAAAACCAGCCACAAATATTGTTTTTTCATTATAATATATTTTTCAAAGTGTTTTTAATATTTTTTATATTTTAAAAAATAATTTAATATATTTTTTAAATATTTTTGGTTAATTTTGATATATTAATATTGAAAATAAAAAAATTATTTTAAAATATTTTTAGTTAAAAAATATTTTTTTAAATCACTCCACGTCACAGTACCAAATAAATCACAACTACATAGTAAAACTTAACCAAGACCAGCATGCTGTATATAATTAATAAATCAAAATTAATCCGTTGACTACGATATTGCATGCATAAAGGAATGTTTCTTAACTCATATTTGGAGGCTCAAACTTAATCCTCTCACTACGATATTGCATCTCAATCTAATAACGTAAATGAATAGTTTTTTTTTAATTATAAATTAAAATCTTTTTAAATTTGAAATTTATACAAGTTTATCATCATCTTATATTTAATTTGCTTAATTTAATTAAGGAAGATAATAAGATTCAAACACAATAAATAATTTTATATTAGTCTAGCATACTTGTTGATCAAATGAAAAATATTTTGACTTGAAATTAGCAAAAAAATATAGTATTTCAAGTTGTATTGCATGAGGTGAAATTAACCTTGCCTCATTGATCATTATATACGCAAAACACAAAGGGTCCAATCAGGAAGATGGATAAGAAGCCATCAAATATGCAGGGATACAAGCAGAGCTCCTCCAGACCTTGGAGTGCACCTTGAGGATCTCTCTAGCTCTCTCCTTGCTCTTCAAACTACTATTCACTTGCAAAATCAGGCACAGCTTGGCCACAGCACCAACCTGCAACATTTCTTGGAGAACCGTAGAAGTTGCAGAGAACCTACAAATGGAGCACAGAATTCTCACTGCCTTGTCACTTGCAACATGAGAAACCCTAAGTATTTTCTTGGAAACAACTGCGAGTCCTGCCCCGTGCTTCAATAACTCTGCTCGTCCATCAGCACAACCACAAAGCAGTTCTAAAACAGCTAGAATAAGCTCACAAGCTCTCTTGTCTGATGTATCAAGAAGAAGCTCGATCAAGACAGAAACTGCACCACCTTCGACGGCTTTGATTCGGTTTCTTCCCCACGGACAAATTTCCATGAGAAGCTTCAATGCTGCCTTTGAGGCCTGTTGTGAGATCTGATCATCAAGTACGCGTACTATCTCGACAAACATTTCCGGTCTGATACTAATCAAATGCGTTGGATCTGCCACTTCGAAAACGGACTTCAACAACATTGTCGCATAAGCTCTAGATTGATAGCTACTATGCTTCAAGATTTGCAGCAACGACTCTAGAAACCGATCACCATCGTTGATTATCAGATTCTTTAATTGCCTCTGTGATATTTTGAGATGATAAAGAATGTTCAATGCTTCATCACTTGCCCTTGTGAACTCCGATTCATTATCATCGCTGTCTATCTCAACTGAAGTAGAATCATCAGTTTTCAAGATCGAAGCCAAGAAATCAACTACACCAGCTTCCTCTAGACAGCTTCTATTCCTTTCACTTTCAAGCGTGATTGATCTAAGCCTTCGTAGGCTCTTCAGCAGCAAGTGTGGAAATTTCTTAGCATCATTAAGGAGTTTGGAGATCTGGGCTCTGTCAGCGAGCGGCTTCGGAGTTGGGATTCTCTCGATACCGAACGAGGCATTGAGGGTGCACCATGCTTGGATCAAACGACGAAGGGTGTGGTTTGGGGTGAGATCTTTGGTAAACAACTCTTGCTTTGTAACTGGGCAAGTTTCATTTTTGCATGAAAATAACCATTTCTCAATGTTCTCTCTATCATAGGTAATCCCAGTTGAGACTGTAACTGGATCTCTCATGAGTTGAAGGGAAATTGGGCAAAGAAAATGATAAGGAACATCGATTTGATCCATTTGAAGAACAGAGAAGCAAACTTAACAATACACAAACAAAACTAAAAAAGAGAAGCTGAAAGAATATGATCAAACGTACCAAGTGCACTGATAAATAAGAATATAGAAAAATTATAGTAAAAAGGGCTCTAACTTGAATATCTAAACTCAAGAAACAAAAATAGCACTTGAATGGCCGAAAGGAGGTAAGGAGAGAACTCTACCATTAAAATCTGAAAATGGAATTTCTTGAACGGATTTGTTTAACTTCCAAACTTGTCTGCTAGAAGTTGCAAGATAGCTTTTTATTATTCAAAGTTGTGGGGGGGAGGGATGCGGTTTTATATGTGTGTGGAAGTTGTTGAAGCCAGCGAAAGTCAGCACACCGAAAATCAGAGAGGGCATTAATCTTGGACCTTTTCCAAGGTTTTGGAAGAAGAAAAGCTCAAAAACTAAGAGTTGACTTTAGCTTTATATAAAGAAATGAATAATTGGGAGACTATTCCCTTGTATTGAGACAAGAGTCGGTGTTCCAATGTGTGCTCTATGTGTCCTAGATGGGCCTTTGACTTCCATCATTTTTCAATAACAGAAGGCGTCCAGATCACTAGAGATGATGCATGGATGGTGCCGGCAGCCTCTCATGCGCCTCATGGGGTTTCCTACGCATTAACTTCACGTGTTGCTGTCTTAGCTCCTAATTGCACCTATTCTCGATTCCCATTTTTGGTTTCTTAACTAGACAGGTAATATTCCAAGGATCTGGTCCATTTAGGGAAGCTCGAAGTGTTTTTTTAAAAACACCTATTGTTTGACTAAGTAATCTTTAGGTATGGAGAAGGGTGCAGCCTGCATTTCTAAATCAAAAAACATCGTCGCGTTGATGTTTTTAGTTTGGAATATTGCGGACTGCACCCTCTTACAAACAGATTTTAATAACTATTATGTTTAAATTTATAATAAATATTTAATTTTTACACCTAAATAATTGAGGGATGCCATTGAACGTGTACCAGTTAGGGAAATGGTCTTGCAAGATTTAGAGTGTTTTTGTCAGCGTGGTAGCGGTTGCTTTTCAAATAATTTTAATGTGTTTATCAATGTGGTAGTGGTTGCTTTTCAAATAATTTTTTATGTCGAAATACATGATAATGATATTTTTTTATTTTTTAAAAATTATTTTTAATATCAACACATCAAAACGATTTAAAATGTACAAACCATATTAAATTTTAATAAAAATAAAAAAAAATTGAATTTTTTAGGAACGTAGGTTCAACCGCGTTCCCAAACACGGTCTTAATGTTTGGTGTTCCTACATTTTTGACATGGCCTGGCTAATGATCCCTCAACTTTTTCTTTTTTTTCAATCCGGACCTTGATGACCATTATATATTCAGATTTTACCTCATCATCAATCAATATAACAGTCCAGAATATGGGATTGATCTATCCTTGTTATATATGTGATACTCCGTGAATTGTCCTTTCATTTGTAAAAGGGTTGGTACCGTATGTTATATCATACACAAGTAGTTATAGTCTAGATGATTTGTATGAGGTAGCTTTCTATGATAAAATAAGTTGGAAAAATTGGGTAATTAGTGTAGAGTTTTTTAAAAATTAAAAAAGTGAATAAACAAAAAAAATAAAAAGTTCAGGTAAAAAAAATTACTATTCAAAAACACGACATATAATTAATTATTATTTATTTATAATTACATGTATTACTTTTTTCTAGATTTTATTTTTAAAAAATTATTTCAATTCAAAAACTTAAATTATTAGATAAGATTTCAAAATATGATTTATATTATTTTTTATTATATTTTTTTAAGTGAAAGTTTTTTAGCCTTAAAACTTGTAAGAATTCATACTATTTTGTGCTTGATTTTTATCAAATAAATAAAAATAATAAAATTTAAATTTATAATTACTTAATTATTAAAATTCTGTTATCATATTAAAGAATTATCTTAACCTAATAATTTAAATTATTATATAAAATGTTAAAATATAATTTATATAAGTTTCATCATCACAACCTTGCACTTCTGTTCAATCACTTGCAAATTTTTAATTCCTATCTCTTTGTCTCTCTATCTCTCTCAAATGAGAGCCTTTTCATATTTTAAGCAACAAATTAATCTTCTCTCAACATATTTTAGGCTTTTCAAAACTTGGATTCTAGCTTTAAGCTACCCTTCTTCCTTATTTTCAGCAACAAATTAATCCTCTTTTTGCAGGTAAGAGTGTAAAACTAAAACCTTACTACTGCCTATAATTTAAACACATACGTACGAGACTAATGGTAAGGAGAACAGGTCTTGGCCAGTTCATCCAATAACAAATGTGCATATGAAGTTACCACGCTTCTAAAATATAACATGTTTAATTGCCTTGGCCAGTTTATCCAACTTATTTTGTTTTTTTAAGGTATAAACTCAGTGATGAAAACTTAGTTTTTTTTTTTTATTATTTTTCATGACAATGAGAAATGTGGTATATGAAGTTATCACGCTTCTAAAATATAACATGTTTAATTGTTATTTATATGAAGTGTAATAATTATATTGTCACGCTCAAGAATAATAATATTTAATAAATATTATATAAAGCATGATAAAATAAGAATATGTTATTTTGTTGAAATGTTTTTAATGATCCGGAATAGTTCATGTTTTGGAGTTTGTTTTTAGAAGCTGAGATCGCGTAAATATCAATGAATTCATGTATTAGAAATCTTGAACAAGCCGAGCACGTAACTTAATTATCTAGATATTATATATCAAATCTTTGAGATAAATTAATATCTAATCTGTCAACTGTAGCTAACCATACTATTATGGTAAACTGTATATCACTTTTTTAAATAAATAAATAATAGTCTACAAAAAGACACGATCTCAAATCTACTAGTCGTAGACAACGAACCAGTTGGATCGACGATGGCTTATCGGCACGCTTCCTGAGGCAGTTGACTTGCAAATAAGGAAAATAAAATCATCGCTGCCATCTGCCACTAGCTAGCGGTCCATCATATTTCTCCTTTTATTAATATTTTTAAATTAAACTAAAGTCCATCACAAACTTTTCCACCTTCAATGTTGTGCTGCTACGAGCCAGAATTTATTAATTGGCTACGGGATATTCCAGCTAGTTTTTTTTTTTTTTTCCATGCATGCTTCTCTTTTTACGAACTTGTACATAACCTTCCATATATTTTTTAAAATGAAAAATATTTTATAATAAAAAATAATATAAAATCATCTATTAAATTTCATGTAACCAATAGTTAAATAGTTATTAATTTGAATTTTATTTTTCATATCCATCTAATTAAATTAAATATAAAATAATTGTGGGTACTTTCAAAATCCTAAAAGGTTTTTATTAAAGAAATTTTTATTAAAAAATAATATAAAATCATTCATTTTCACTTAATATCTTAAATTTCCTTATTAAAATTAATTGAAATTATTCATTGACATTTTAAGAAAGAAATATGAAATATCTATTACACATGACATAAATGGAATGGTAACTTAATGGTTATGAGCTTCTTATTCTTACAAATAGCATACGATTCTATTTATTTATTTTATACGGTGTAGCATTTAAAATTTTCTTTTTGTAGTAAACTCTCAACATAATATACGTGCACACGTATTAATGGGTGTGTTTAAAAATAGGGTATATCTATATAATTTCTCATTGAATTTAATAGTTGAATTTGAGTTTTTTTTTTAATAAGATACTAGGATTTTGTGAAAGAAGAAGGTTGAAACTAGAAAGAAATATACATGATAAATTAGAATTGAAAAATTAAATTGGTAATAAATAAAAATTTAATAAAAGAATCAAGAACAAAAATAAACAATAAAAAAATAAAAATTAAAGTTGAAATATCAAAAGCAAAGAGGTCTAACCTATATTTTTCAGGATATAAAGAAAAAACAAGATAAAAAAAGATATCATGAGAAAAAGGATGCGACAACTTATCCAACAACATGATAGACAAATATTTTATTTTATTGGAAGGCATCACATGCAGCGCTCAAAATACATGGGTGCCTCCCACGTGTTAGTATATTTTTCAAATTAATTAATATTTAATTGATGCTAAAAGATAAAAATATTATTGATTATCAATAATGATTTTGCCTTTAGCTTTAGTTTTTTTCTATTCTTATGTATTTTCTTGATAATTTTATTTTCTATTTAATCACATTACTTGAACAAGTAAGCGGGCTGACAAATAGTTATTATACTATATTTTATACCCAAGCAATTCTGTGAGGCAAACTTTAATGTTAATTTTTTTAATTACTCAATAATTAAAATAAAAATTCAAAAATTTAAATTCTAGAAGAGAAATGTATTTTTAGGTTAAAGTCCACATTCCTTATTTATGCATTTATCATTTTGATGAAACAATGTCATTTGTTTCACTAATAATGTTTTTTTTTAATAACTGTCATAACTCATGTTTTTAGTCTAAAAAAAACTGCATAGTGCCATTTTAAATAACATTGTACTACTTCTTCTCCCATGCGAATACAAAGACAGGGGAGAAGAAGATTTTTCAAATGTTTTTTTCTTCTTCTTCCTCCTCTTCTTTTTCTTCTTGGTGCAAGTGGAGAGTGCTCAACTATTCAATGGCTCGAACAAGTCTGACCCAACCCAAAATGAGTGGGCCAGGTTCGGCCTGGTAAAAAAAATATTAAAAAAATATTTTAAAAAATTTGTGATTCTTCCGCGTATATTTCTGCTAAGTTTTGCTTAATATTGGGGTATTTTTATATCGTAAAAATACAAATCCGATATTAAAATATATAATTTTCATCAAAACATTAAAAAAAACATGTTTTGTTTTCATACATATGGTCAAGTCTGTCAAAGCTAAAAAAACTCATATTGTATTTTCATACAACAAAGAAAAACTTCAAAAAAAATATTTTAGCATGAATTTTTGGCTTTAATAACCAGGTTATTAAAGTTACGAGAACTTTGTTAATATTTCAAAAATTTGAGAAAAATTATTTTTTTTCTTTTAATATTAAGGATTATGAATTTATATGTAAAACGTATTCTCGATATTGAA